AGGGTGGGAGGTAGAAGAAAGGTGTTAAGGGTTAAAGAAATACAAATTACTAGTTGATAGATGGTCATGGGGATGGGGAGCACAGCATAGAGAATGCAGTTAGCATTAATACATTGGCTAGGTAGAGGGCTAAGGGAGGGAGGGAGCAATTTGGGGAATCATTTTATGAACTATATAGATGTCTAACCAATGTACTGTATACTTGAAACTAATTAAAATAAAATAGACATTTCAAAATAAGTTGCAAACATCAGTACCCTTCCTCATAAATAATTTAGCATGTACAGCATTAACTAGAGCTCAATTTTATTTATTTTTTGGGGGGGCTAAATCTTTTATTTTTAACATAAATGTTTTTCTCTCATAAAATTTATGGTTAGCAACTATATAGTCCTCGGTATGATTATCTGATTGTTTCCCTCTGCCTTCAAGAGACTGTGCTGTCTTGCTCATCAAAGTATCCACAGGGCCTGACATTATAGTAGATGGTCGATACATGGTATATTTGTAAGGGAACATATGGTAAGTCAGAAAGAAATGAATGCAAGAAAGAGCTATAGAAGTGTAAAGAAAAACGAAATCTTGGCTTTCTCAAACCACTTTAAATATCTGCTATCATGATTTGTTGGTGCCATTTTAGTAAGTAGAGCAGGACCTGTTGCTGAGGAAATTGCCAGTTTATGTTGACTCAATTAAGAAAATAAAATGAAGGACTGCGAGAATCTTTACTGATTATATATGAATAAGTTCCCAGGGTTCTGGCGGTTTAATTGGTAAAGAAGCTTATAGTACTTTATTTGTAGTTTAGACTGCAAATCCACCTCCAGGCTTGCGTCTTTGATAACTACCCTTTTCCTCAAGATGAAAATTTATATGAAAAATACTTGAGCCATAGACCAGATATATTTACTCAGTGCTGACTGATAACAAACCTCATATTTGACACACAAAAATAGAATCCATTTGTCTCCTTAGTAACCCCCTTCCTATCATGACTCCTTTTGGGCTATTCTCTCAGTTCTTTTTGGTGATACCATCTCTAAATCAATTTAATTTTAGACTGTAATAAAAGACTAAAAAGCAATTATTTGAGCAAAAGGTGCTGCAGCTTGGGAGACACAAATTTAGGTAGCAACTTAAATTATGTTCCATTGAGACAAAGGGAAGACCATCTTTTATAGAGAAAGTGACCACCCAAATCCCAATTTTATGCAAATGAAGTTTCCAAATTGTGCAGTTCTGATTGGTATAGATGCACACAAGGATATAATTTATGTAGTTCTGATGGGAGGATGCATGTCTCAGACTGTTGATAGAAAGATGAAACCAGGGTTTTCCTGCAGTGGTTGATTCAGGTGACCTTGTAAACAAGCAGAGCAGAGTGCTGGGGAAGCCGAGTTCAGTTTGAGGCTCTTCCTGCTATACAGAACATGTGAGAAGTCCCTATCAACAAATAGCCGCCAGACTCTTATTCATAAAATTTTGGCTCTCAATAGACCATGAGGAGTCCATCTCAGTAGAGAAATTCCTTCTGGGGGGTTTACATCAAATGAATCTTCTCAAGATCCACATGTCTTTGTGAGAGACCTGGATTTTGTGAAACTGCCACCCCTCTGGAGTATAAAAGAATTGTGTTATAATATTGTCTCCAGTATTTCTAAAGGCATCCAGCATGATTGAAAGTGAAAAGGTTGTAATTATTTTCTTAGATGGTCTAAGCTTCCAGGTAACTGAGATTTTGCTTTCTTACCTCTCTTATCTCAGGAGCATTTGACAACTTTTCTTATGTCACTGAGAGTTCATATGACAGCTAACAGTGCCCCATCTCCTCAAAACTTTTTTCTGTTTGGCCAGTCTGTTCCATTCTCAGAGCAGGAAAGTGCAGGCCTGACCTGATTTAAATGTCCTTGGGAAGAATCTGGCCTCAAAGGATCCCGGTTCAAATGTCAGGTTACAGAAATTCTTCCACTAGGAAAGTCATTCCTTTCTGTTAAAGTAGTACTTGCCCAGTGTTCTGCTTCTGTGTTTCAAATTGAAGGGTAGAAGAGGGACAGCAGATACAAGAAGTCACCTTTGTGAAAATGTTTTCTTCAAAACATTTTCTGAGGATTGGAAAAGGACCAGGTGGGGAACTCTGAAAACATTAGCACTGTGACCTTGGGGAGGAGGAGGAAGCTCTGAGGTTCAGTGCCCAGAGGACAAACTTCTTTATCTATTAGTAGGTTTTACACCACATAGTGTCTTTCGGGTGATAAGATTTAAGATCTGCTCAGTGACTTCTTTTCATGCCCCCCTAGCCACAACCCTGTAATCCTAAGTCCTTGCTTCTGCAGCGCCGCTCTCCTCTTAGACCCCCAACTCTCCGGGAGGGCCATGGCAGCGCCTGTGGCTGCATGCGACCTCCTTCCTACTTCTCCCACCTCGCAGTCCAGTTTTCGGCTCCGCGCTTCTTTCAGTCCTTCCAAGACGAGTGAAACAGAAGACTCTTCCACCGTGGAATAAAACACGTAACAACTCACTCCCAACTCTTACCCTCTAGTTTTTTCTCTCCTATGCCCAAGGCTTTTGGTCACCTCTGCATATATAAGACCTAGAGCCCAGAACCCGAAAACCAACCGTTGACCAGCCCCGCTGGCTTCTCCACAACTGAAAAGCAATCTTATTCTGGTGCCAACGCTCTGTGTCTAGCAGTCAGATCTTGGCCGACAAGCGCCCGCGCCGCTGTCCCATCGCCCCGCCCGCAGGTCCTGTCACCTCGGGCTGCCCCCGCCTCCCTCCCTGGCCTGGGCCTCTCC